TGTGGAGTTCTTATGTGACAAGTCCTGCCCTAGCCAACACTAACACAGCTGCCTCCAAAGTAGCGATAATAGGCATGGTGTATTTGGCTGCACATTTTTTATTGTGATTCACTCAAATTTCTACTCGCCCCACGTGACTCTGTAATCCATTATTCATCCTAAAAACCTGGCAGACGATGACTGTGTGAACTCTGGAAGCTACATTTAATTATGCTCTACTGGAAAGCTGGGATATTTCATATCGTCATAACAATAACTCAATTCATATGTGTTCTTTTGGGAGGCCAGCCCTAAACAAAAGTGCCATGTTAGCTTTCTTACCATAATGCCATGATACCACCTTTAACTGAAATTCTCATTATTCAAGTCACAAAAGCATTAGGCTGCAAAGCTGGGTCATTGTCTTCTGAAGCTGCCATTGTAATACCTGCGCAGGAGAAATATACAGGAATGATAGGATTCTTGGGAAAACTGCCAGGAAGGAACACGTCACTGGGTAAGAAGCATCAGAAAAAGGGCAGGGAAGATGTATGATCATTAGGCTGGCCACTTTACAGATAAGGATAAAATGTTCAATTAATTCTATAGATCAACATAAATATTAGTTATCATTTTTCTCCATTTATGCTTTAAACTCATTACAAGTGTTTTTGCTTGAAGTAATGACCAAGGTGGCTTTTGTTCTTTGAATTTTGAGGTGTGTGTAATTTAGTGTTTCTGTGAAACCTAGACACTTTCATTTCTTTGCAGCCAATAATTATTGTAATACAGACAAAAGGCATTGAGTTTTCTCACCAGAAAGAATATGTAGTAATGCAGTAACACAATATTGAATATTTTACTTATCCTTTCTTGCTATGCTCAGGGGACAGGAATTAGTCATAATCTTAGGGTCATGGACTAGTCCAAATTGAAGGCAAATGTGGAATCCTTTAAAGGGGTGGCATTAAAAACATAATTTTATGTACTCGCCTCTGCATGTTCATTCTACTTTATTGGATTCTTCAGAGAGATAAGCACATATCAAAACACAACTCGGTTGCCTATTCTATCATCTATGATTCATAAACACCACTTCAATGTCACCCAAATATTGGTTTCTTTTCTGAACTAAATCTGGAGAATTGTAATGATAATTCTGTAATCAGGACTATTTTTTTTTTTTTTAAAGAGTGCCAAAGCCATCAGGTAATGCTTGAAACATGCAAGAACTTTAAACTGTGTACTAATAAATCTGTTTACTATGAGCCATTTTTAATCTTTTGACAATTTGGTTAGTCAAAGGCAATAAGAGAGAACGCTTCTTATATTCATATGTTTTGTTTTTTTTTTTTTTTTGAGATGGAGTTTCGCTCTTGTTACCCAGGCTAGAGTGCAATGGTGAGATCTCGGCTCAGCGCAACCTCCACCTCCTGGGTTCAGGCAATTCTCCTGCCTCAGCCTCCTGAGTAGCTGGGATTACAGGCACGCGCCACCATGCCCAGCTAATTTTTTGTATTTTTAGTAGAGACGGGGTTTCACCATGTTGACCAGGATGGTCTTGATCTCTTGACCTCGTGATCCACCCACCTCGGCCTCCCAAAATGCTGGGATTACAGGCTTGAGCCACCGCGCCTGGCCCTATTCATATGTTTTTACCTTAAATTTACACATTTTTCTTTATATAAGATGTGGGGGATGATTGAATGCAAGATTTTTGTTTCTGTATCTGTCGAAAAATGCCAAGCCTCCTTTTCCCACAACGAACTGGTGCACTTAGTCCCTTACATGCATGCAGACCTTGTCTCCCCTCCGTGGTGGGATTCTCGGTCTTCCCGTTATTTCTAACTATTGCTGTTTATATGCCATATTACATTCTCTAATTTCCTTTTATCTTTTCTTTATTTTGCAATGTCTCAGCACGTGTCTTTTTAAGACAACTTAATTTAGCCAATTACTCCAGTTTGGTTGAAGATAAAATCTTTAATTTATCCAGCCCTCCTTTTATTCTTTCTAGGATACTCTTTTCATTAATTTCATGAAACACCCTAATTCTGTAGTTTAGAGAAAAGCTAATATCATCCATATACACATGCATACATACACACACACACGGTCAGATGCAAACCACACATACCTGTATTTCAAAACTAATTTTACTTCTCTTTTTATAGTAAATAATTCTTTACATTTTCTTCAGAAGTATCTGATATGGTAAGAGATTTCAATTTGAGAAATCTCTATTTCTTATGTGTTATTTTAAAACTATTTTAACTCATTTACATTTTAGTAAAAGTAAGTTTCAGCTCTTTTCTCAGGGGAATATTTTGACAGGATAGAGAATAAGGACCCAGAATGTCTGCAGGAAATCTGAGGACATTATTATTGAAAAAGGCATAAAGAAAAGTACTGAAAAACTTGAAGCGCTTGAAAATAGAAATGCCATTTTTTCATTCAGCAGTTTATTAAAACATTGCATGTACAAGTTACTGTTTTAGGCAGAAGAGCAGACAAAAAATGTCATCTCTGATCTTCAGGTTAGAAAGAGATATATGAGATATAAAAAATTATGTGGAATGCACTAAATGAATGTAGAAGGAAGTGACCAGTCTGCCTGGGGCAAGTTTCAAAAAGAAGGACATTTGGGATGAGTATTCAAGATGACAGCAGCTAAAAACTACCCATCTTATTGATTTCATAGTTTAGATATATTATGTGAGTTAATTATTAACATAGCTGTATCCTCCCTCTATCATTTAACATGTTAAATGCCTTTATTCTTGTACTCGTATAAACTACTTCTGCTGCTAATTTGGATGACCTAGCAGAAACACTTGTTTCACACCCTAGATGTTTTATTCCTAAATATGTGTCTACTGCTCTCGTGTGTAAATAGGGTTTTTGTTCACACTGTATAAACAGTGCAATGAAAATGACACACCCAAAATATAACTACGCTGGTTCAGATTATGAGACGATAACCACAGCAACTGGTTTACCAGTGACAAAATATTTCAGTGTTTCACTACTCATTCTGAAAAGCACTGGGGTTATAATATTTGTGGACCTTCTCCAACTCCCTTGCCTGCCTCTTTCCTGCCCCTTCTACATTTTATTCCCACTCATTCCCAGAGCCTGGCGCTTGAACTTTACATTAAATTTAGTCTTTGCCCCACGTTTTCTAGAGGGCCTGGGTCAACACAATTTCCGCCTCAGGACGGGGCTTTGGAGTTGGATTAATCAGCTCTTAGAAAACAACAACAACAAGAAAAAACTGCATTAACTGACATCGCATTAATTATTTAAATAGATTGTGATGGTGAGAAATTATTTATGACTAAATGGAGTCCTTACAAATATTAGAGTAAAAGAGCAAGAGGAGTTGCTATCCAAATTACTACCTGACCAGAAAGCCAGAGGACAGTAGATCAGCAGCCTTGGCAGTATTTCTATGACAGAGTTAGGCTTTCAGGGTAAAAGATTGGGAGACTGAGATCTGGGATGGGGCAATGGATGGAAAAACTGGAACACAAAGAATTTTCAAATTTAACCTCTGGCTATTGTCATAGGCCGTCATTGAGCACTCCCTTCCCCATTCCTGCAGGGGAAGGCATGGGCCCTTACAGGAGGCAGATGACTTACAATAAGACATTTAGTCCCTTAGGATATGCTCTTGTCTCCCCATGTTATCTACGGGGCATAACCAAACTCATATCTCAGCTCAGCCTTGGAAGGGAAGCCAAAGCCCCAGGAACAAATAGTCTATACCTGAAAGGCAGTGGCAGCACCTGACGAAGAGCGATGAGACACTGGAAAGGATGTTGTGAGCCTGAGTCTTGACTGTGAAATTAGAAAGCGAGACGGAATATTTCCAGAATCTCATGAGTCAGAATTTAGTCTTTTGGAAAGGATGACGGGAATGGGTCCTCTTAATTTGCTGAGTTTGCTCCCAGGAACCTAGAGTTTGCGATGGCCGAAACCCCCCAAAGTGGAAATGCGAAAACTTCCTTGGCAAAATGTTAAATAGGCAATCAGAAAGTTCTGGCATAGAAGACTGTTACCGTGGCTTTTTGTGTATAGTGCAAGAATCCACAGATTTCCAGCTTCCCCAGGGGTAGACGGAGAATCTTCTCTTTACTTGGGACATAAGTAATGTACTATTGGAGTGGGGGTGGATACAAGAGTATTTGCTCTCATAATAGTGACAGTCCTTTCTAGGGTGAGGTCCTCAGTTATGGAATACCTCCTTTGACCAGACCTCCCTATTATCTCTAGGGAAGACGAGATTCTGGAATGGCTGCAAGTGTGAGCACTTAATCATCAGCACCAAGATAGATATGCTGACCACAATAAACGCTAGACTCACAGTGCCAAACAAGGTTTTAACCCACAATGATGTATAGTCACAGTTAACAAACTGTAGTATTCCCGTGGTGGTGAGATAGATGCACAACTGACTAGGGTGCATGACTTTTATAATAAAAAAGAATCAACAGCAGTTTAGCAGAGGGCTAATGGCAGCTATTGGAGGGGACGTCATCATGACTCGTTACCCAGTTCCCATAGATAAGCTGTGCCAGATACCCATGACACACTGAGGGACAGGAAAGCTGGGTTACCTAAAGCAGTATATACAATAAATACCCCAACCATTCCTCTAAAGAATCATGGAAATCTTTGTCACTTGTTTACTGGAGAATGAAAAAATATGCAGATTTTCTAAAGGATGTTAGGTATGGGTTCTGGATGAGCTGATACTTGAAGATTTGAATGGCTGTCATGGTCCACCAGTTACAACAGGGATAAAGATCAAGTGATAAACACAATTCTGGTTTGAGGTCATTTTACAGTTCTGTGGGCCCACCTGTGGTACTTCCCAGTGACCTGAGACAGTGGGAGGCCGTAAGTGGGCATGAGTAGGATGAATAGGCCTTGAATGGGATATGATCATTGTGGACCTTCTCATTTTCCCTTGACGACCTCTTTAACGTTTCCATGTTGATTTTCTTTTTCATTTCCAGACTTGCGTGAAATGTTCCACCAGACTCGATGACGTTTAGTAGCCCAGAAAGCTGCCGAGGGGCCGAATGACACTATCTGAAGGTACGAGCCAGTTAGCTCTCCATAGGGAGGATTTTGCCAGTGGGAAACAGATGAGTGAGTGGAAAACATTGGGTCAGTAAATCTTCCCCCTTTACCCTTTCATGTGATGCTCTGTGGTGTGGTTTCTCCTTGTAAACTTTCCAGAAAAGTTCTGCTTGACAAGTCAACTTGCTTCTGAGTGACCGACCACTTGGGTTTCTTCACGGCCTGTGGCAAGGAAGTTGCCCTCACAGTAGTGAATTGCAAAACAATGCTCTTGGTCTTTGGTTCCCTCACTTCTCCTTTCTCTTCACCTTCACCAACCTGGGCCTGGACTTCTAAACAGCATCAACACATTGATCTTTACCCTAGGTTCTAATACAGGAGCCAGGATAAAGACACTGTATGTATATTTAAAGACGATTAACCGCTTTTCAGCTAATTTGACAGAGGAAAACTACGATTTGTAATATTTAGGAATTAATGGCTTATTATATGCCACCCAAAAGCGACGGTGGTGAGGTTATCTCGGTCTCACGAAGAAGGCGAAAGTGAAGTACGTCTATAATTATTCTAAGATTGCACAATGAAGGAAAACTTCCCCAACCTTTAACTCAGTAATTAAAATTATTACAGTTTCTCATTCCTGAATTTTGGAAACATAACATAACGACATTTAATACGTATATAAAAAACATGACAATAATTCAGCAGCAAGTTTGGTCAAGAAAACGTTAATATTGTCAATCGTATAGAATAATATTTAGTGTGACGTTCAGCCGATGCCTAATTTGTGTTGTAAAGTATAAAGCTTGTATGTCTGTTTAGATAAGTGGTATGCTGTTAGAAATGACGGTATTTTACAATGGTTAAAAGTTATCCTCATATTGCATAAAAGTTAAGAAGATGATATGGCTTTATCTTCCATACATTTACAGAAGAGTATTAAGGGTAATGCTAAAATTAGACATGTAGTGACTATGAATTCGTTATTGATTAGAACATTTTGCAAGTGTAAACTTAAGGCTCTCCTAGAAAATGAATATTCAAAGATTGCCTGGCTTAGTTCAAGAAATAAAACAGCAACATATTCTAATGAAAAGTATACATTTTTTCTATTTTATAAACTTAGTTACTTAAAATATGAGAAATACTGTTCCATTTAGGATGGTTCAAAAGAAATTATGATTTTGCCATTACTGTCAATGGCAAAAGCCACAATTACTTTTGCACCAACCTAATAGCTAAATTAACTCAAGACATGTCTTCTAATTAATATGCGTTTGCTGCCCCTTTGGCATTGAACGTACAGTATCTAGTTCTCCTTTAGCAGAATCCTACCTATCCTTCTAAAACCAATCATGGTGCCTTTTCATCATTTATCTATTCGTCTACCGATTTATTCAAAGCTTGCTTATTGAGTGACTTGTAGATGCCAGGTGCTATTTTGGGTCCCATAAATGGAACGTGAGAGTAAGACTGTTGCATCATGGGAATAATATGTGAGTGGGGGATACAGGCCATGAACAAGCAAACACGTGAATCTATTCTGCAATCCAGGTAATTGTAGGAAAAGGTGACAGAGATGGGATCTAACCACAGGGACTATTTAAATGGGATGGTCCTTGCTGGCCTTTTTCGAAACTAAAACCAAGAAAGGTCTCAGTGCAGATGCAAGACACTCAGGTAAGAATAAATTTTATTTGTTCAAAGAAGAGAAAAGACTTTGTAGACAGAGCAGGGAGAGTGTTGGAGATACTCTTGGATAGGATAGGTATGCGGGTTCAGATGACATAGGGCTTTGCAGTCAATGATAAAGCAATTGAGCCCTATTCTAAAAGTACTGGGAAGAATCCTAAGAATTTTGAACACAGTAATGATGAAGTCTCGTGTATAATTTCAAACAATTACTCTTGCTGTAGTAGGAAGAATAGATTGTAAAGGTCAGGAAAATGTGGTATACATACATCATGGAATACTATGCAACCATAAAAAATAACAAGGTCATGTCCTTTGCAGGGACATGGATGAAGCTGGAGGCCATTATCCTTAGTAAACTCTCACAGGAACACAAAACCAAATACTGCATGTACTCACTCATAAGTGGGAGCTAAATGATGAGAACACAGGCAACTTAGAAGGGAACAACACACACTGGGGTCTTTCAAAGGGTGGAGGGTTAGAGGAGGGAGAGATTCAGGAAAAATAACTAATGGGTACTAGGCTTAATACTTGGGTGATGAAAAAAATCTCTACAACAAACCTCCATGACACATATTTACCTTTGTAACAAACCTGCTCATGTATTCTTCAACTTAAAAGTTAAAAACAAAATGTGAACAGCAAAGTTAGTAGCCGGAGTGAAAGATATTGGTGGCAAGAGATTCGGGAGTGAGATGGTGTGAAGGAGTACAACAGAATTCTCTTCCCTGAGTACTTTCTCTCCTGCTTTGGGTGAGGGTTGTGTGTGGGTGTGGGGCCTTGTGTGGTGGTGGTGAATGTGCTGCCAGCAGTCATGTGACTGAGCAGCAGGAGTGAGAGGTGGAGGGAGAAAGGTATTTTCCTGAAGACCCTCAGACCATGCTGATGCGTTGAGGTGGCCCCACATCATCCTGAATGGTCCTCTTTGTTCTCAGTTCTCCTTGTAAACTGAATAGTTATTAGGACACCAGGATAAGCCATGGTGGTAATAAAGTTCATGGCCACAGATATTGTGTGGAATAGAGAGTTAGATTATGAAATTACATCAAAAAATAAGTGAGAAAAGTAATTGCCCCAAATCGGTCTGTGGCAGAGAACAAAGCTGGTCATCAAATCTCATTTTCTTCTTCCTGAGAATGCAGCAAGCCATTTTGGTGCTTTCCTAGACTAGGTGACTGACAGCTCTGTTCACTGGTATGTGGGAGAAAGACATACATGTTGTTTCCTGTCCTGACCTCCAAAATTGGCTGTGTGGTCATCCACACAGCATAAAATAGAATACTTCAAAGCCAGAGGGAATGGCTTCCCTCTCTACAGCAAACCTGCATTCCCCTGTCTCCTTAGTCAGAATTAGAACTCTATTACATGAATCCACCAAGATTTGGGGTCGCTGATAGTGACAGCTGGCCTATCCTATGTAATAAAATATCCCATGTCTATTCTTTTAAATATTTGCATTGAAAATGAACATTAGTTTTATTTTCTGCAAGTAAAAATTGTAGCAAAAGAGATACCAAATTAACAAAACCTAGAGAATGGTAGCGGAAAGGATTTCTCTCTTTATACTCATGATACATTATTGTTAGTATTTCCTAAACACAAAGAGGAGAAATGTGTTTATTTCTTTTAATAGAAAATTAGAGTCCTGAATCTACTCCATAAAAGTTAATTCTGGTGTCTGAAATGGATGTACTAAACTTGGCCTCTTAAAAATGTGACATATAAGAATCATTTTACCAAAGAAAATATCACTGGGGCTTACATATGGAGAACTATTTACATACTCCATTTTCTTATCACCAACTATTTTATTAATTATTATATACTAATAAGCATAAACATAAATGAGTAGGGATTTCAAATGGGCACTCATTAACTTCCTCTAGACTGATTATGCAATGTCATTTTACAATATACATATTACACATGATCAAATGTTTCTTTTTGCAATTTTACGTTAATTATTAAACTTCGAATGAACCATTATGAATAATTATTAACATATTCTACTCATTGCTACTATCATTCATATTTTTATAACAAGGACTACATTCCAGAAAGAAAAACCTCATTATGTTCAAATATCATTTGTGCACTTTGGGCTTCAACTATTTAAAATATCGGAGAAATAGCTAACGCATTCAAGGGCAATTTAAAAACTGCCCTAATGAAAATAATGAGAAAAACAAAATTCCCATTATTTTTCTTGACTCTTTATTTGTTTAAGGGACATTATTTTCTTGCTACAGACACTATAAAAATAAATGCAAACAATAATTAGCTATTTTTCTACGAATGATGTAGACCATTAATTTATGATAATATTTACGTAATGAAGAAGTTTCATTGAATTACAAATCTATAATAATTGTCATCAAAGAAAATATAACTTGTTTTTTTTCTTAACGATAAGTCAAAATTGTTTTGTAAAATGAAGGACAAAAAAATATTGAGGAAATGCAAATACATGATCTTAGCTTTCATGCTATCCAGGAGCTTGAGCAGACTCAAACTCATGTGTTAGGTAATACACAGGTTGCAGGAAAAAGGATGAATTTCATTTGGAAAATGAAAAGTTTGAGGCTTAATATGATGTGAAAAAACAAATATGTCTTAAATTAGAATAAATTCTCACTTGAGATAGTGCACATCACTCTGATAATTAAGGATATCATTGGTTGAAAGTGCTGTGATACATGGATACGCGTGCAATTGCATGTGAAATTGGAGTAGGTGACTGCTGGGGTCCCATCTACCACCGACATTCTATAGCTTAAATGTCGGAAAAATTCTTATTTTGCTTTTGATTGCATAAAGTCAATGATAAGTGTTTTCGTCTGATTTATTACCGAATTGGCCACAGATGGAAATCTTATCAAGTAGTTACATATTTTTTGAGTTATCAAGGTTTAGAATAGTTGGCATAAGAATAAGGGTTAATGATGCAGATAGAGCATCTCATCTACCATTTAGAACTTTATAAATACTAGATCATAGAGTTAGCTATGCTCCAGGGGAAACTGACCACCAGGCATGCATGCATTTTTCTTTATCCTAAGCAACACAGGAAAGTACCATGAAGTATTTGTCCTCCATACCACTGCACATAGCTATGGTAGAGAAACATGGGGAGATGCGCTGCCTCCCGCTGAACAGGTGATTGCCCCAGGTTTGGAGGTTGCTGTCCCTTGGCAGTTCAGCGGTCGGCCTCTTCAGGATGGCTTCAAGGCAGAGAGCTGTCTGTTCATATTCCTTGCTGAGGGAGCTGAGGTTACATAGGTCTTGTCGACTGGGCCCAGTGAAGGATATTTTACTTTCAG